GTCCTTCAGAATCCATTTTTGCTAGGCACGATTGGTCAGACTTTGTACCTTGTTTCCAGGTCAAGTTTCAAATAGGTTCCTGTTTTGATTACAGGTCACTACGGCTACTGGTTAAAGCATCTTAGAAGTAAAAGTAATGAGAAAAAGATCGCTGTTAAAATTCTATCTTAACTGGGTGACTTGAGTGTTGAGAAAGATTAATTTTACAAGTCGATTTGAAGACCAAGAGCTCGTTGCCTCTATATTGGTCATAGTCTCTTATCGATGTATAGAAGTGGTCCGATCTTGTTTTTGCAACTTTGTCGTGTTGTCAAGGTGACCTAATTGAACACACTTTGTCCGAGGTTCCCTGCCATAAGGAGAAGTGATAACACAACCGTTCAACAAAAAGTTGTCTAAGGGATGGACTTCAATCGTCTCTGTGACAAGTTGTCGCTTGGGGTTGAGAATGGTTAGACACAATGAAGAGGCTGACTACGATGCCGGCGGAACGTCTATGAATGGAGCAAGTACTCAAAATGAGTGGTGGAGCAGAGGAGCTCAGATAAGGTGGGCTCATCGAAGTCACTCAGACGACTTCTGCTAATTTTGTAGTTAATAACCAAATTGGAGTCGGATGCAGTAAAATGGGCGCTCCAAAGTTGATTTTGTGCTTATATTATGAAGATTAAAATCCAATTATTTCTGTGTGCCATTAACTGAAGGAGGATTGCCTTAGAGGAGCAAAGACTACATAATTATGCCAAAAAGTCTTGCCACCCTCCTGAACCCGTGCTAAACTTTCGTCTGTACTATAACCGACATTGTCAGAACGAGAAAGCATACTTTACGAAAGGACGCATTGAATAGAATGAGCCAAGAAAATGAGGATAGTCCAATGCAATCAAACTCATTTCTTGTAGCGAACCTTGCGATCATAATGATACATCCCATAATTTGTGTGGATGTTTCATAACCAAAATACACTTTTGTATATGGTGGATGTTCATGTATGAAAAGACGGTGGAGGTAGGGCCAGTTGTTTCCTTGCCTAAACAATCAGATGCATGAATATGCCATTTTTTGCTTTTCTGTTATTGACTGACTGGACGGCGAGCCAAGGACTTCTTTGCACTCTTCTTCTTCTGCATTGTGTAGCCACGCAGCAACAGCATTCTTGGTGCTACCATCTTGCTTGGGACAAAATCATAATGAAGATTGGAGTTTTGAAAAACTTGCTTATATTGTATATATTTTGTACTATTATTTTAATTTTAAAAGTCGGAAAGTTATGCTTTGTTTGCCCAATGGGGATGGTTTTTTGAAAGAGCCAAACATTTGCTTGGAAAGGGCTATTTCCTGTCAACAATGATCTTGTTGAAATTATTCTTTTACCCTTCACTCGCATCCAATCTATCCAATCCATCCCCATCTTCATCTCTACATTTCATACACCAAATATTTCCTTTATAGACGCCGAGTCTTCCGGTGAATCGTCGGAGCTGTTGCTCAACTGCCTGGCTGCAATGAATAATCTCACTTACTTTATGCAGCCCATCTCAGTCCATCTGACGGGCTCCAGCTCAAGACCGATCACTCTCGTCAAGCGTGAGTACACTCTTAACTTTATCTTGACTCTGCCAAATTCGGGTGATTTGATGTATCTTTTGCTATCTGTCGCCTGGACCTTGGTAGATTGTATTTGATCCGAGACCGAATTGCAAGAATGTAGTGAAGAGTCCGAATAGATTGAAAAGTTGCGCCTAGTCATGTAGTTGTATGCATGCATGTAGTAGTTTGTATGTGTAAAGGTGATTGGAAGATAAGCAGTGCACAGGAGAGGATGGCGGTAACTGGGCCAGCAAAACGGTGTAGCCACGCGGAAGAGACATTCCCATCGAATGCTACAAAACGGTGTGACCCAGAGACCCGGAGACTCGGAACCTCGGAGTTGAGTCGGAGTCAGTCCGAGCAAAGTCACTTCGTTGTTTTGGTCTTTGGAGGACTTTGTTATGTTTATCAGTAAAATTTCCTGATTTACATTAAATATTATA